TGTTAATGTTACCTTCCAGTGGACTCACGACCCGCAGGAAGGTTTGGCAGGTTTGGTACGGTGCAGTGTGATTTGGGTGGTGACTGCTGCCCCCGCGACCCGGTAACGGATAAGAAAATGGATGGATGGGCATCAAATGCTAAATAAATATATTCATGAGCATTTTAACAAAGATACCTCTCAAATATTTAGCTTAAAGTGTACTCTGGGTTAGCTTGCCCCTTCACTTTATCCAAGTCCCTATCTAGAATTCCATGTTTTGCTGTCTCGTATCAGCTCTCTTTTTCACACTCTCACCTCATGGGACACGGAACACCGAACACGTAACATCCATTGTCACCACCAGCAAATGGGCTTTTAACAGATGACAGCTGTTGGAGCTGCGTCTAATTAAAAATGACACATAATTCACCACCCTCGTGTGTGTGTGCGCATGTGTCTGATACAGTCTGCTTGTAGGAGAGGACATTTATCTTTGTCTTCCTTCCTCTTGCTTCCTCGTTAACCTTTTACTCACTCCCACTTGTGGTTTTTTTTTTTTGTTATTGTCTGGTTTTGTCCCACGTTGTACAACCCTTTCAGCATATCAGCTGTTAACAAAAGAACTTCCCAAATATGGGGTCAATACAGTTTTTTGTTTTTTTTGTAATTTTACAATATTGTCTAAACTGTCGGGGCACCTGACCCAAATATGGGGTCAATACAGTTTTTTTTTTTTTATTTTACAATATTGTCTAAACTGTGGGGGCACCAGTTTACATGCACAAGCTTAAAATTAGTTCGTTTTTTTGTTTCGCCCATACAGAGCTGTTTTAAAACCTTAAAGTTGAACAAATACATAAAATATATATGTATACATACTTGAAAATGTTTTTTTATTATATATATATATATATATACATACTTGAAAATGTTTTTTTAACATTATTTGTGGTAGAAAATACATTTAAAATGTTTACATTTTTACGAATTTTTGTTTTGTCCGTACAGAGCAGTTTTAAAACCGGAAGGCCCTGTCCTGTTTATGTAAAGTTGAATAAATAAATTAAAAAGAAAATATATAATTTTAAAGCAACTTTTGCGTTAGTTAACGAGTGCCTTTTCAACATTATTTGTGCCAGAAAAACGCACTTAAAACGTTTACATTTTTTACGGTTTTATGTACATGCGTATATTCACACAGAAGGAGACAGACGTGCGCACGCGCACACTAACGCCTGCTGCTTAAAGCTGGTGACCGCACAGCTGTGGCCACGAAGACAGCGGGGCATTAATGGTCATTTTATGAAGCGAAATGTATGTGACGTTCCACTGCGCTTATTCTACTACAAGTACGACAACGTGACTTTACACATACAATAAAGCTGTGTACAAAAGAGGCCTATTTGGTGTGCTAGGCATCATTACAGCATATCACATCATTGACTCACGAAAACACCTCAACATTGATTTCCCGCCAGTAATTGTCCCACTGTAATGTTATCACCTATGATGATAACGTCAGGTGATGATAGCGTCTGAAGGAGATAATGACGACGACGCTTGCCAGTAAGGCCTGATGATGACAATAAAAACAAATAGGGGCGGAAGGTGCACCTGTGTGCAAATGGCGCTGAATAAGAAAGTGTCAACATTACGGTGAGTGGAAAGCTCACATGTGACTCACTCACCTGCTGCTCTCACACCATCCAGGTAAAACGACAAATAAATATATCAGACGCTCCGCTCAACGGTCTTCTCCGCTATCCGCGAACGCTTTTATTGAAGAGCGATATCAGCCAGCGAATATTGAAAATGTGTTTAGTTGTAGGCGCCACAGGAGCTCTCTATGCCCCTCCGCGTGATCTGACAGGCATTTAGCAACGCTTAGTGGGGTCGCTGTATTACGTGATGCGGCAGTAGGAGGTTTAAAAAAAAACCCTTAGCATGACACTTAGCGACGATGTTTATAACAACTATCATGAATCAGCTTACAGTACAATTCAATTTTAAACAGGAAAGACCATTTTGACATTTCGACTTTAAAATGAAGTTTGTTTGTTTTTATTTTAAATCACTTAAACGAGCCATTTTAATATTTCCTGTCATCAGGACAGTTTGACAGTCAATTGCAGGGCCACATATAGTGACAGATAACAACGTATCCCATGTCTGGTCAATTTAAAGTTAACCTATTCCGTATCTGTAGGTTTTTTTACACAGTGAAGGAAACCAAAAACCGCGAAAAAAAAACCTACGCACGACGGGAAAAAAAAACTTGCAAACTCTATACAAAACTATCATCAATTATCACCGGGAAGGAAATGATCATCCTCCAAAAATAATATTTTGTAAAAAGCTAACCAGACACAGTGACACTTTCAGCCTGTAAGATCAGACAGAGGGTTAAAATATTTTTACTCCACCCCCTTCTTTGTTCGGTAGGGTGGAGCTTTTTATGTTATATGGCAAGTGTATTTGTGGGAGCGACCAATGGGAGCAGGATAGGGAACATCCTGTTCCAATCACAGCCCTGGATGCTGCTGCTCATGGCAAGCACGACTGTCGGTAACCAAGCATCCCTGTGCTGTTAAAAAAAAAAAAAAAAAAAAATCACTTGCCTCAATTTTCATCTACTGTTTCCAAATCTGTGGTACCTGATACAATAAAATGCCTTATCTCGGTCTTCATGCAACAAACGCGTCATTTTTATGACAGGATTAAAAAAGATTGTGGAAAGAATCTGCTCTTTTTGTTACATAACAGCGTCCAACTCCCACACTAAATACATATTTGAGCTTATAAAGGGGGATTCTGCAATCAAATATTTACATTGGAGTATTTCATTGTAAGTATAAAAACAGTGTTGATTAAAAGAGATAAGTATAAAAACAGTGTTGATTAAAAGAGGTAACTGAGCACTGAGGTGTCCTATACAATAGAACGGAATATTGTCATTATACGCAGGACAGTCGTAGTTTAGCATAACACTACAACGGACGGTATCTCGGGAAAAAACCTGGTTTAAATCCACGTTCTGAAGTCGCTAGATAATTCTTTTTTTAATTGGTACAAATTTAAATTCAAATGCAGTCTTTTTAGTTGTATCAAGCGGAACTGGTATGGTTATCGCATCTGTCAACAATAAATCTGTCATTGTAAGGCATTGTTTACCAAAGACTGGGTCGCAACCCTCTGGTGGGTCACAAGAGATTTTTTTTTTTGGGGTCGTCTTGCATCATGTTTCCCAAGTGTTCTACTGACTTGGGTCGCGATGGTTTGTGACTTTTAAAATATGGGTCCCCAGAAAAAAAAAAAGTTTGGGAAACACTGTTGTAAGGTATGTTTTCCTTATTCTTACTGTAAATATATGATTGAGAAGGAAATAAACGTAAACGCACCGATTACTGGTCTAAGCCGGTCCATTCACTTCTCGATGATTTTTGCATCATTTTGCGCAACGTGAAAATGCTTTTGTTTAACTTGCCATTAACACCACTTTATCCCTACATATGTTGGCGCTAAACGCTCTCCTTGCTAGCTCTATTTTATATTAATTTTATAATTACTGAGCATTTTGTTTCAAGATAAGGAAAAAAACGGAGAGGCCATGCATTGTTCTTATTTCTTAAATTCACCACAAAAATGAATATAAACTGCAGATTTTTTTGTTTGTTTGTTTGTTTGTTTGTTTGTTTTGCAGACCAATTGCACAAGCTTTTATTCCAGTCACCGCGCACTTTATTTTAAAAGGTTAATCACAATAGATGGTGCTTTGCCCATAGTTGAGAAGAGAAGAGAGCTAACAGACCCGGCCGTTTTTTTTAGCGCACCCAGACACTGCGTGGCTTTTTATAAATTCTCCATCATCGTGAGTTTAATCTGCATATCTAAGCCATTTTGAGAGCTTTTGTCCGCAGATTAGCGTGTTCAGTACACCGCCGGCATCACCACAGCGTACAGTCATCTACATCTTCACACGCACCCACGCGCGCACACTCCTTCCCCCATCACCCCCCCCCCTGTTATGTGAAGTGTGAGGAGCAGGTGCTGAGCCACGCTGTCATCTAAGGTGAAGAGACTGCGTTGAGGAGTCTTTGAGGAAGGGAACCGAGAGGGAGCGCACGACAATCCAGCTCCGGATTGAGCAAGAGCTCCGCTCTTTCTGTCGTCTCCAATAATGTTCAAACGAACCACTGTCAGTAAAATTATCTCCGGTCAAGAGATAGGATAAAGTAAAAGTCCATGAGTGTGTTTAGGCTGTGTACAGAATTGAACATTCATTCATTCATTCATTTATTATCCACTGCTTAATCCTTTGCGGGGCGCTAGGGCCAATTGCAGCTGCCGACGGACGAGGGCGGGGGACACCCTGAACAGTTCCCCGGTCAATCTCAGAGCCACATATGGAGACAAACAACTAGGGATGTCCGATATTATCTTCCGATAGCTGACATGCCGATATTGTCCAAACACTTAATTTCCGATTCCAGTATCAACCGATAACGATCTAAGCAGCCGTTCGTAAAAATACTTTCACTTTCGCTTCAAAACTGTTTCGAGGTCACATCATCTGGGTGAAACCCAGGTATTGCATTACCGGGAAGAACCGATAATGATTCTTACTGATAATTACATAATTGGGATAATATCGGCCGATAATATCGGTCGGCCGATATGTGACATCAACTACAAACAACCATTCACACTCACGTTCGCATGGTCAATTTGTCCTGATCAACACTGTTTTTCACGCACTTGTGGTTTAAACTCCAAAGTGTCAACATTACGTTGCGGCGCGGGACATACAAAATGTCTTGGCGTGCCACATTTGGCCCCCGGGGCCTTGAGTTTGACACATCTGGTCTAAAGGAAAAATCTCATATTTGCTGTTTATTATGTGCGAAATTGCACTATGGGTTTACAGTAAACAAGAAATGTGCAATTGAACCAACAGGCCATATGTATTTTGTGATGGCCTGAGGACAAAAGTGTTCTAGAATCCCGTTAATGTTACTCACCATAATGTTACTCACCACGTCAGCAGGCCAATGTCCTCAGCACAGGAACAGATGTCCAGATTTGAAGCAAAAATCCAACCGGAAAGGAAACAAACACAGCACAGGATCAGCAATTTCCCTGGTGAATTGTTTAGTTTAAACATTGTATTTAAATGTGTATTTATTTCCGGAACGTCTATCCACCTATCCATCCATCTATCTATCTCTTTTTTAACACACAAGTACAAGGCCCTTTCTATGCCCTCATGAGGTTGTTCAACTTTCAAACGTCAGATTCAGTAAATATCTTTTTAACGTGTTTGTAAATGCTTTTTATTTTTATTGTAGAAATTGTCTCTATGTTCAAAAAAAAAAAAAAAAAGTTTGATTTTGATCTCAAAATCATGCCAGACATTTCCCTCCAACAGTCTAAAACGTGCATGGTCTCGAACTTCCTTTCCCGTCGTATGCTGCCATCTGTTGGATACTTTTATTACCACAACCAAATTGTCTCCAAAGTACGTTTGGCACCCTGGGAGATACAGTTAAAAAGACATTACTGACATTGAGAACGGGATGTTTGAATCTGTACATGGGACCAAATGCTTCTAAATAAAATAAAAAAATTATAAGCATACTACGACTAAACCAGACATGGGCAAACTAAGGCTCGGGGGCCGGATGCGGCCCGTTCTGCTTTTTAATGCGGCCCGCCAAAATGTTCCAAATTGTATCATTTATTTTATCATTATATCATTATACATTATAAGAATTATTATACTTCTGCCTTTTCCCTGCGATCCCCACGTTTCCCCAATAGATGGCGTAGAAAATGATAAAAGCCCAGATCTGCTGCTTTGGAGTTTCTATCTGCCTCCAATTCTTCTTTCTTCCTCTACAAACAAGGGTTGTCTATTTAAGGGCTTCAATAGCTCTCTTATAGCTCTGTAAGTGTGTGTGTGCACGTGTGTGTGTCCCTGATCCTGGATAGTACTCTGGTGGTTTAATTATTCCTGGCTGCCTGGACCACTTACAGCAGAATGCTTTGTCATACTCCATAAGTCTTCCGTCTTCCGATTAGAATAGAAATATTTCAGTGGGCATTACACTGCATTTTCTTATCTCGATGGGTCTTAGCTGCATTACTTTCAGAAAACACCTACAGAAAGTAAACGGTTTTAGTCCAGAATCAACGACATTTGCTAGTTTGAGATATTTCGCCACGTCGTCCTTTTACACAGCTAATTTGGCTAAAACCTTTTTGAGGGGCACTCTAAGGTGTAAAAAAGAATGTTTTAAAACTGAACAAAAAGGGAATAAGTTGTATTATTAAAATCATTTATAAAACAGATGGTTGATGCGTCATGCCAAGTCAAGTCAATGTTCAACGAGAACAATTAAATGCACTACCGCTAGGTGGCAGCAGATGGACATAAAAAGAGCAACTCAGAGCTGTTGCTCTTTCTTCAATTCCTTGGAGTATATCAGTGTTTTGTTCAACTAAACCAAGTAAGATATTCTAGTACTAGAGTACTATAATTGAATACTAGAATATCTTAGTGTGAAATCTGGGTGTATGTATACAATCATATATATATATATTTATATGAGTTGTCCACAAATATCGCAGATATTAGCATAATTTTGTAATTTTTATTGTAGAAATTGTCTCTATGTTCAAAAAAAAAAAAAAAAAGTTTGATTTTGATCTCAAAATCATGCCAGACATTTCCCTCCAACAGTCTAAAACGTGCATGGTCTCGAACTTCCTTTCCCGTCGTATGCTGCCATCTGTTGGATACTTTTATTACCACAACCAAATTGTCTCCAAAGTACGTTTGGCACCCTGGGAGATACAGTTAAAAAGACATTACTGACATTGAGAACGGGATGTTTGAATCTGTACATGGGACCAAATGCTTCTAAATAAAATAAAAAAATTATAAGCATACTACGACTAAACCAGACATGGGCAAACTAAGGCTCGGGGGCCGGATGCGGCCCGTTCTGCTTTTTAATGCAGCCCGCCAAAATTTTCCAAATTGTATCATTTATTTTATCATTATATCATTATACATTATAAGAATTATTATACTTCTGCCTTTTCCCTGCGATCCCCACGTTTCCCCAATAGATGGCGTAGAAAATGATAAAAGCCCAGATCTGCTGCTTTGGAGTTTCTATCTGCCTCCAATTCTTCTTTCTTCCTCTACAAACAAGGGTTGTCTATTTAAGGGCTTCAATAGCTCTCTTATAGCTCTGTAAGTGTGCGTGTGTGTGTGTTCCTGATCCTGGATAGTACTCTGGTGGTTTAATTATTCCTGGCTGCCTGGACCACTTACAGCAGAATGCTTTGTCATACTCCATAAGTCTTCCGTCTTCCGATTAGAATAGAAATATTTCAGTGGGCATTACACTGCACTTTCTTATCTCGATGGGTCTTAGCTGCATTACTTTCAGAAAACACCTACAGAAAGGTTTACGTTGTAAACGGTTTTAGTCCAGAGTCAACGACATTTGCTAGTTTGAGATATTTCGCCACGTCGTCCTTTTACACAGCTAATTTGGCTAAAACCTTTTTAGGGGGCACTCTAAGGTTAGCCTTTAATGTACCCCCCGAGGTTGGTGTAAAGACACAGCTAATTTGGCTAAAACCTTTTTGAGGGGCACTCTAAGGTGTAAAACTGTTAACCCTTTACACATGTATGTGTGTGTGTGTGTGTCACTGGTCTGAACACGTTTTACTGCAAATCCTCTGTGTGACAGTGACAGGCAGAACAACTAAATACTATTACAATAAGTGGCACTAGGGGGCGATAAAGACTAGAGAGCTGTTGAAGAAGATCTTTGTGTCTCTTTCTTCAATTCCTTGGAGTATATCAGTGTTTTGTTCAACTAAACCAAGTAAGATATTCTAGTACTAGAGTACTATAATTGAATACTAGAATATCTTAGTGTGAAATCTGGGTGTATGTATACAATCATATATATATATATTTATATGAGTTGTCCACAAATATCGCAGATATTAGCATAATTTTGTAATAGCGGTAAGACTCGTTATTGGTTTTCCTTGGATAATAGATAACGCAATGCCCGGGTGTCGCCAAATATGCTGGAATCGCTTGTGAGTTCCTGAGACGTTTACCGCAGATTTTGGGGGAAAATGTTAGCGGCATATGTTCGTATCGGTTGATATCAGAATCATAAATTAAGTGTTTAGACAATATTGGCATATGTGATATCTGATACATATAAAATGTTGGTCAACACTGCTCTAAGCCTCAGTCAGTCTTCTAAGACACACTTTCAAAAAAAAAAAAAGAATGAGCGGTATACGTTTTATCCTATAAAACGCGACTCCTAGTTTCTCTGCATACCAAGGACCTAAACAGAGAACTCTAAAGTAGGACAACAGCAAATTCATATCACCAGACTATGTGGCGAAATGAGCTTAGATGATGAGCTTTCACCATAATGACCAAATACATACACATGCAATACACTATTTCTGCTGAGTCTCGTCTACAGGATTTCATTCTGACGTCTGCAGTGCTCACATCTGATCAAATGGCAGAAATCCCAGGCCTCAAACCCTGTGGGATGTACCGTACGTGGAAACATGCACGGGATGGGGGCTCTTTCAGAACTGCATGGGTGACAGCTCAGCATTTTCTGTCAGCTGTTATCTACTGTATACAGAGTGTTATTTCAATATTGATATTATTTCAGTGGACAGAAGGTCATTACGCCACAGAAAAGACCATTAATCATTCCACAAATAGAACATTGTGTGTTCTATTTGGTCTATTAGCACAGATTCGTGATGCTAAGCTGTGTGTTGAATATACCTGTGCCAAAATGGGGGGCGGGAAAGGAGGGGGGCGGGGGGTAGTTGAACTTTTTAACATGAATGATTTCTCCAGAAATGTACGCTTTTGAATAGAGGTTGAACATTAACCAGAGACAAAAATAATAATTAATAATAACATTTCAATAGCTAGGGTAGTGAATATACTCTTGGCTACCGTTAAAGGTTTCAACTTTACTGTTACTGCAGCAGTTGCATTTGCCTAGTAAGAACCAGCAGAATATGACACAGCACCACATCACGTCCTACTTTGAAGAAGAGTTACAACACCTGAATGCTTGACTCTGGCCGCTTCCCCGCTGGCGGAACTCGGTCTCTTCCATTCGCCTCGAGTTGACAATTGTCACACATAGCTCATTGTAGCGTCCACGCGTGTACAGCGGGCAGACACACACCGTGGAGTCGCGGAGGAGTGGCAGCCTGCCCCGCAGCTCAGCAAACACTGCGTCAAACTGCCGCTGTTACACCCGGAAATAAGAGTGCTGTTCAATACCGACTATCTTTCCGAGCCTCCTAACTATGTATGTGTACCGGACACTGAATGCAGCACGGAAGCACAAAATAATCGTAGAGAAGTAGCTAGGTCGTTTTACAGAAATATTAGCTTGTTAAAAAAAGAAAAAAAAAACTTTTAATTAATTTTATTCATGATGTATTTTGTAATGTACACTAATAAGAAGAGTTTTATCTTAATAATGCTCTATTTCTTTAAGGGCGGGAGTTCGTAGAATCAAATAGAAAATGAAAAAATGAACATTAAAATAAACATTATATTCTAATTTTCTTAGTAAAAGGGTAACAAAATGTGTATCCTAGGAGTTGGCTTCCACAAAACAAAATAAGGGATTTTGAAAGACAGTAGAGAGACTCATATTTCCAAGGCTGACATTAAACACCAAGGAAGATGTTTAGCCGGGAGCTGACCTCTCAGTTAAACCTGGTTGTTTGGTGTTTTTCGTTTCAAAATGACCAAGGAAGATGTTTAGCCGGGAGCTGGGGAAATAACTTAAGCTTAGTTAGGCCATAAGAGAACGACTATTTAACCTCTCAGTTAAACCTTGTTGTTTGGTGTTTTTCGTTTCGAAATAGGGGATAATTTTAAATATATTTTAAGGTATTCACCTTCACAAATTGGCTTAACTCTTTTATATTATATCATATCTTGAGCTTAGCCTTCATTTGAGTTTTACACTTCCCTGTATACAACCAGAAAATCTACATAACGAAAAACGCTTTTTAATCCTAAGTCCACGCCTGCTTTTTTAGAGCACTGCAGATTTTGCACTTTCTATTTTTAGCACGGATGACACAAATGCACATGAGGGTATTTAGAAAAAATATATTTTGTTTATTTAAATGTAGGAAAAGTGCAATAGAAAAGACATCAGGTACATTATATATATATATATATATGATACGGTGTACACGTTTTTTTAAATTATAGTACAAAACTGTACATAGTCTCACAATATTTACATGCAACACTTAGCCAATGCTAAATTTTGTCCTTTTTGTCCATGTATTGTTTATAAAAATAAATTGTGAATTACAATTTTATCCACGTAACATGTTCCTTTACTCCACTGGTCTTAGGACCATAGCGTCAACGGACAAGTACAGTAAGTGCAAGACAAAGGGGGATGAAAGGGACCTTTTGGATAAGGTATCATAGCCTTACAAGAAATAAACAAAAATACTATAGTACACTATGTCATAACACAAGAAATAAACAAAAATACTATAGTAGTGTCATAATTATTTTTCAAAAGCCAAAATAATAAAAAAACAACTACATGGCAAATGTTTGTCCTTGTGTGGTAAGAGTTAACGTTTTCTCAAGTCATAGCCATAGCTTAAAAACACAGGCTAACCTCTTAGAGACACTTAGCACGCAAATTTTCCAGGTTTTGCTTGAACCACACAATTGTTACAAAAGGCTTTTTAAAAAAATGCAAAACACATGTTCACATCTATATGTATAGATGTATATCGCAATACTTTGGCGAATACCACATTTTTTTTAATGCTACAATTTAAATACACGTAGCTAATGTTAGCTGGTGTCGTTGACGTTGATTAAACCACCATTAACATTCAATTCATGAATGAAAAGATTATTGTAACATTATTTTAAACAAAAAGAAAATAGTGCAGTTTGTGTTTCTGTTCAACTTAAATATTTTAGCATTTAAATAAAATTGGTCATAATATCAGTGCTTGTAATGTCTACTTTCTGTCAATAACGCGGTAAGAAAAATTGACGATTACAAAAAAATGAATGAATAATTAATTTAAAGAAATGGTATGTCTGACAAGCCAAACTGTTCGACAGTATGCCATACATTGTACAGCTGTACTGTATCAAAGTCTGTTGTAAACGATTAATACTTTTGCGGTAAGTAAACTTTAAATTGAAATGATTTAATATATAACAAATGTTTGTAGCAAGATAATACAGGAAACTAAGCTCAAGGTCCAATAGTTTTATCTGATCAGAGAACTAACTGTTCCTCCGTGTTGTCCTGATGTGAGCTACGTCTAGTACATAGAATTGGCCGGTGGTCAATCTGCTGTTTGACCATTAAAAAAAAGTACCTATTCAGCCCCTAATCCTATACTCTGTAGGAATCAGCTGACACCCAGCATTTTGTCTTCCCTGGGATTTGATTAAAATTAGTATTAAATGTAAATTATACAATACATTTTCCGTTGGCAAGATAGAGGTGTTCTTTGTCTTAATTTTCCAAGAAATCATCTGATCAAATTTCTTGTACACACCCATGATTTCACAGACAAACTTCCAAGTCAGGATCTGGTAAGTTTAGGTAATAAAGAAAAGTGCATTCCTGATTATTACATTTCAATGTGTTTGTTTATAAAACCTCCCTTTCGTAGTCTCCCGTCATCCTCCGCGTGTTGAACGCCAGGAAAATGTCGTTGTCTTGAGGACAGTCGTAATGACAAGAGCAGGATTTTATGAACATCATCTTCTTTTTGAAGACATCACCTTCTGGACAGCGGAATTCTACCTCCGCTGTGATCGTGGTCTGGGGTGTGCAGCACCGACCGTCTGTGCAGACACCGCAGAACTTGGGTCTGTACAGCCTGGTGCTGGAACAGCCTGATAGCTCAAAGCGCATCCACCGTTGGCCCTTAGGGGTCCGGATACATTTCTTTCCCCTCTGTAGATAAAGACGACAATAACAGTTACAATCTAGTGGGATATTGGTTAGCATAGAAAATGTAAAGTTGAGGAAAATAAGGAAAAAGGAAGTAACGTTGTGTGGAGGCAGGAGTTAGGCGATTCCAAGGGTTCCTGGTAGGTAGCTAGGTAGGTAGATATGTAGCTAGCTAGCTAGCTAGGTAAAGAGATGGACGGACGGAAGGCTCGATGGATGGATGGATGGATGGATGGATGGATGGATAGATAGAAGAGGAGAAATGAACGACAGATATTTTATTAGGAAGTGTGCGATATTGGAAAGTGAGATGGAAGTGAAGGCAGCTTTTAAGAGGACGAAGAGTAGAATGTCTGGATTCAAATGACATATTGATGGAGGTATGAAGATGTCTAGGGCATAGGATAGTGAATGGATTTAAATCTGGGAACTCTCTCCTTAGATCCCTGGTCTTTACACATTAATACATTTATTAAATTAGTAGTCCTGAAGCTTTTTGTTTTACTTCATTTGTCAGGAATCCTTAGTTTAGAGCAGGCACATCTGTTGTTTCAAAACCTAACAATCCATGAAATTATGGTCTAAAAATGACCAAATCGCAGCTGGCAGGAAACATTTTCTTCTCTATCCACAACAAAACAAACTGACCTTGATCTCCTTCTCCTGTCGGCTGTTGCAGGGTCGGATCATGCAGATCCTGGTCTGCCTCTCTAACTGGCAGTGTTGGTTGTCGTTAGTGATTCGAGAGGAGATGCCCATGCCACAGGCAGCAGAACACTCACTCCAATCCGTTGTTTGGACTATACAGTTGTCCTGTGGACTCTCCGCTGGCCGCTCGTAGGGAGACCCTTGCCTGGAGATTGGATTCGAAGAGGGCAAGGGGTGGATCTGAGATGACCCTGCAAGAATGAGAAGGTTCCAGTGTCAATTTATTTGTCACAACTCACAATTAACTTAATCAAAAGCTGGGCCCGTTTAGTTCAACACAACACTGGCATACTGGCAGGAATTGAAGAAAGACCCAGAGATCTTATCAACATCCTCTTTTCTTTTATATTTATATTTATTCTTTTGTTACTACGCTAGAATATTTTCTTCTATAGCTACTTTGACCTGAAAAGCACATTTTTCCATTCCACCCCAAAAAAATCCCAAATTTAAATCTACCTTGACTTCGAACATCACCCACACTGTTTACATTGTTGTAACGTTTGTCGTGTCTCTCATCTTACCTTGTTCAGTTAAACAATGCGACACAAACTAACTTACCAGCAACCACAGACTGGTAGTGGTGATCCCGAGGGGTTTGCTCACACACCCACTCCTCACAGCATTTCCCGGGGATGTGTATCCGTCGCGGATAAGGGCAGTCGGGCGAGGGCAACGGGACGTTGCTTGCACACATGGGTACACACCCGATCCTACCATTCATACACACACACTGGTGCTTACAGCTGGGCTTGAAGGACTCCCCGCTGCTGTAGGTCACGCCTCCCAGGTCACACATTTGACCCTCCCGAGCTGGAAACAGACAGAGTTTGTCATAGTTTGGCTTGCACTGAGATACGATCGGAGTGTTTTTGAGCATCTTCAGAAATGCATCACTTAGAACTGGTCTGCGAGAGTGCATCATTCCACTAGGGAACTCTCCTGCTCTTCGTGTGCAGTTTACATGTGCAAAATATTAAAGGTAAAAAGAAACAACCCTTGGACAATGGAACAGTGTTTTGCAGGACTGGTGCTATGTTTGGACCCTTACTAAAAAGAAATAATGACTCTCAGATTTTTTACAGGCTACAAGTGAAGGCATCAATGCCCCTTTTGTTTCACCCTCTTTACCAGTGTTTTGAATTTTTGAGCTAAAGACAAAAGTGTCTACAGATTTGTCCGTAAGCTAGGTGTTACCAAATGAAAGTCACAGCATTGCTAAAAATAATGGTTTACAGTGTATATACAGTATACATATACAGTGAACCCTCTCCTATCGGGGTAGCTGCGTTCCAAGACCCACCGCGAAATGTAAAGAATTGCGAAGTAGAGGCGAGATAGTTATTATATTATTTACGTATATATTATATATTTATCCTTTACGAACCTGCCCCACACTGTTCAAGTAGCCAATAGTACACCGAGTACGCATTGTATTAGCCATACATTTGCATTTTGTCGTTCAAAATTAATACAATTACCATGTTTTAGTCTGAACTGACAAATATTATATTCATTTCTTTTTCCGGTCTCGCATATAATTTACTGTATCTGTTGGTCATTTTACCTTTGCAGGTGCCAGTTTCGGTTTCACTCAGCACACCACTGTCACAGTAGAGATCCTTGTGATGGTCGCACGGCTCCAGTCGGGAACAGGGCTCACCCATCTGCTTGGCACAGACCTTACAGCAGCCGCAGCCATCCAGAACCAGACTAGTCCCAATCGGGCAGAGCAGGGGTTCAGAAGGGCAAGCACAGGGCTGGGGGCAGTCCTGTGCTATTGTCTATGACGGAAAGAGTAAAACAATAAGTTTTGAATCTCGGACTTGAACATTGTTCCATCCAGCCAAAACTACTGGTGTTACTAATTTCATTTGCAAATAGTTTTACAGTTGACAAAGTGGGACAGAATCCCTAAACTGGACGGCAAATTCTTGTTTAGACGAAAAATAGTTTCACCATGTCGAGAACCAGATGCTAAGACACCAGCAGGTCAAGTTTACCCAGCTACCCGTAAGGCAGTAAAACCATTGAAGCGACAGTGGTAATATTACAAAGGTGACATATTATGAAAACAGAAAAACACTACACTACTACAGAAAATACTACACTGCTACAGAAAACAGCACCCTACGACTACACTGACTCTACAGAAAGTAGTGTCAAATAGTGCACTGAGGCAAGTCAGTTAGCAGCAGCATTAGCCCAATTAAAAGTATTTTAGTGGATGTTAAGCTCTATTTATTTCTATACATTTTGGCTAATAGGACACAGAGGTAATTTTAACAGCTGACAAAAAGCAGTCCAAAGGTGTAAGACATTCCTACAGCACACACAGAAGGAAAACATGAAAATAAACACGCAGAAATATTGACTTATGCTAACAAGAAAAGAAGAAGCTGGGAGCAGTGGAGGATGTAGACGTTTTCCTTACACATTTTCCTTTCTTAAGTACGAGATAAAATGGTAGAAATTCATGCGTTGTTTGGCAAATAAACATTTTTTTATTCAAATAATTTGTCGACATATATTTGAATGCTATGGTGATGTTATTTACTCTTAACTGCCAATAAAAGTAGTGGCAAAATATTGTGTCCAGCCGCTAAAGCGTCCCACTGCCGGACCCGACGACTTCCGGTGACACGAACTAATCATCAACTTTTTTAAAAAGGTTTGTAAAATATACCACATATAATGAAATAATTCAATGAATGTGAATCACAATAAGGGAGGACGCATTCATCAATTTAGAATATCAATAAAATCTGTATATCAAAAAACGATTAAAATGTTATTTTGTAAATACAGCTGAAAAATCGACACAAGATGGCGCCAACACACTGTGCCAGCGGGCGTCTCAATCAACTGTTGTTGTTTGTCCCTACGACGAGCATCAGCTGAATTAAATACCGACATACGCGTTTAATTGTCATCTAGTCCCCTTCGTACGGCACTACGATATTTCCTTTTTGTAACTACTGTATTTGTCTACTTTTGACTTTAACTCGAACAAAGCATAGCAACTACCGTCTAAGACAAAGTTTAAATATCGAACTTACCGAGGTGATGACGAGGAGAAGAAACAAGAAGGAGGCTACATTTCCCACATACATCTTTCTTTGTTTTGCTCTCCTCTCACTAACTCTTTCCATGCAGTCGAGTTGCTCACTCTGGTTTTTCTCTTTGCTGCAGACTGATGGACACTGGGAGGAGAATCAGGCTTAAATACCAGCCCAGTGGGTGTAGTCACAAAAACAAGAGCCATGCCATCTCCATGCCCTGAAAAAAAAAAAAAAATATTGAAAACATATTCCAAAAGGAATGGTCTTTCATGCAGTCTACACTGATATTTGTGAGTGAACAAACCGACAAAAGACAGATGTTGCAGACACTGTATTCAAACTGGTATCATACATTTGTTCCGGTGTTTTTAATAATACCTGAATGAGGAGTGACGTTTTATTAAAAAAGGGAGGCAACAATGTTGGAAAGGGGGCAGTGGAGGTTGCCAAAAACTGCACATAAACTGCACCTGCATGCATTGTAGACGACGTTTCAAACGTTTTTATTGTTAAGTTTACCCATAAAAACAATTAAGGTCTCCAAACCTTCATTAGCAGCAGAATCATGACTCTAACATTGAGCATCAGATACTGGGTTCTATTTTGTTGTTAAAAATTTTTTTTTCTTTTTTTTTTTTTTTTTTTTTTTTTTTTTTAATTTGTTTTACAGCATACTCTATACAAAGGAGTACACAGCTTCCCTGTTATAAATATTAGGTTTCACCTTTTTTGTTGTTTTTGTTTTTATTATTATTTTTTTATTTGTTTTACAGAAATGATTCCACACCCTCCCCTGATGAATTGAAATACTATTGAAAACCTGGTAACATGTATATCTTTATCTGTACAAATCACTGTATGAGTTGCTGCCACCTAGTGACTGGAGGCTTGTTATCATTTAAGCACTACAGCATGCCATATTCCATTGGAAGCCCCTTATCTCCCACTCCCCTCGGCACCTCACCGCACCCTGCCGGGGGGGGGGGTCCGCCCCCCCCCCTTGAGAAGTACTGCTCAAGGGTAAGGTGTGCGAGGAAAGACGGTAGTGAACCACAGCTCCAGGAGCGCAGTCATTCAGAAGACAAGTAGCCTGACTTCACAGCTTGTTATTCACAGGAAGTCTGAAATGAATGATGTCCTATTTTGGCCAGTCGGAGTCAAGGCACAGTTTGGTGTTTTTGGCTACTGTTCCGAAGCATTGAGAGAGGGTCCAGTCAACCGAAGCTCCGCGTGCGTTTTTGGAATTTCACTAAATATGACTGTAGGAAAGCTTGTGCCCAGATCATGTGATATATTAGTGAATACCTCCTGCTGCTTCTCATTACATGTATACAGACTAGCTAGAAAAATAAACAACTGGCTGGAAGCATTTTTCCGCCCGATCTCCGCCCAATGTGGTTTGGGTTGAGCTCTCGCGCACTCCTTTTCACCTACGGAGACGTAACAACAATATTGTATATTTAGAGTATCGGTAATGTATCGGTAAAGGAAAATACTCGTTCTCTCAGTTTGTCCAAAAATGCTATTTTTGGACAAATCTATTTACTAGTTAGTAAACTTAACGTGCTCAGAATATAATCGCAAATTAACATTCACCACTATGCAGATAATCCAGGTACGGGCAAACTATGGCCCGGGGGCCGAATGCGGCCCGTTCAGCTTTTTAATCCGGCCCGCCAAACTTTTCCAAATTATATAATTTATTTATATTATCATTATAGTTTTCTCTGCAATACCCACATTTCCCTAATAGATGGCGTAGAAAATGATTATTTGCATGCATTTTAGCCTTTATCCTTGACTTTTACATGTCATTTATCTTTATCGTTCCCACGAACGCTCCATCTATCTGCTCCTGACCTGGCATCCCAGTGCAATTATAGGACAATTGTGGCCCATGCCTGGGGTAAACTATACACATATAAAAATGACGATAAAAATATGAAGTATACAAAAGAAAAAAATACCTTGTTTATACCAAACCTTGTGTATTTTACCATGGGGCCAACGGCTCACGTGACCATTTAAAGGTCATATTGATTCGGGCCCTTGGACACTTTTTTCGACACCACACCCCCCCTTTTGGGGTGGATAGATAAACACCTGGAAACTCCCCACCAGGACAGTAGAACTGATGAAGCCTCTTGGATGAGAGGAGAAACGTCTTGAATTTACTTGAGGTCAGTCCAGTTGCCTACTTTTTAAAACTGTTTTTGCGATTGCTGTGATGACCTGGATGACTGAGAATATCCATTCATATATAGTGTCCTTTTTTTTTCTATGGAGAGTGTGTACGGGTGACGTGGTTTACAAATCTGTCACCCGGTCAAAAATCTGCTGGGTTCAAATTTCCAGACAAAGTCTTGTGTTGTGTTGCCCTTGGCTCTGGTATGTGTTTAGTCTGACGGACGTCGGCGCGATTCACGCCCACTGCGTCTCCTTCTCTGTCTGCTCAGATGATGTGAGAGAGCAGACAGGCTTATCACCCACTTCCCGGAGTAAGAGTGTGAATCTGAAACCAGGTTACAAATCGTATGTGGTGAAATGTATTTCCTGGCTCGTGACCTCACCTGTCCTTGAGCTGATTAATGTTTTTGGAATTTTGTTAGCCCATTGGCCCAATGGGGTGGAGTGCTGGGTTCAAAAAATTTTTTTTCTTCTGCTAAATATTAGACAATGATGGCAGACATATGAATGTAAGTAAAACCCTGTCTGCTCCAATAGCCAATCAACCGGTGTTCATTTATTTATCTTTGGTTTACAATGTCCTCCATCAATGGCGTTTCGTGGTTACATCACCATCTGCCCTAAAATCAAGAAAGTCTTTTTCCGTCGTTACAATATATGGCGTTAAAACATATTTCACATAGGAAACTATATGGCGAGTGGGGTGAAGCTATACGCAGATGATGGCTTTGTTTACATTTGCCGGTTGTGCGCCGTACGTTGGATGGTGCTTTTTTTGGAAACTTCATTATGGCTCCCAAACATAATCAGACTCTTCTGATGATTTTATGTTCTAGGCTATGCATATATTTATATTTAGATGTATATATTTAGACCACTGTTAGCATATGTTGGTGACATAGGTACTTATGTTCAGTATGTGAGTTTTGACTTGCAGCGAAAATCATGTTACGTAGGAACGAAATCCCGTTTATCGGTGGAACCTCTATATATAGCATATCATGATTTTGCATTCGAAAACTCCCACAGCACACCACATGTATTCAAATATAATGATCTTTTCATTTCCATTTACAACGAAATTCAATGACTGGGCCTGTTTAGTTGAACACAACGCTGAATTACTGGCAGGAATTGAAGAAAGACACACATGATGATCTTTTTCTGAGTCTGAGACTGAGTCTCTCTCTCTCTCCCTCTTTCTTATGTCAACAGACTTAAATACAACATTTTGGCTTGGTGTGACCACTCACCATGGCTTGATGATTGACTATATTGAAATCATTCGCACGCGTCTCCCATCTCAAAAGTTTCTCTATTTGTTTACTCACTGGACCTAGCTTGTATCCACGTCGGTCCAGAGCTACACTTACAAGTCATGCTTTCCCGAGCTGACGGATAAAATACGCACCAGAATTTGGGGGGGGAAAAAAAAAAAACACAAAATATTTCAAACTCTTTGAATGGAGCCAACAGGGGAAAAAAAAGTTCACTTTTTCCTGAGCAGCTCTGCCAATGCTTACATTGTTTCACTTGTTGGCCCACGACGAGAGACGAAATGACTTATGAGTTGAAGATGAGTCTGAGTGCTCACGCGGCCCGTGTTATTGCTCAAACGTCTGGCCACTAGGACATCTGCTAGGGTTATAAAAACACCTCATCTCTAATAAGAAGAAGTACAGGGCTAAAAATAGGCCAGGACTGCTGGACTGGACCTTCCATCTCTGCTCACTCAGGATGTTGTTAAAGTCTGGTACATTCCTGACACACTTAGCCAGCCTGCATACTTGCCTCCTTCCCTCTCTTTTATTCCGTGCACCTTCCCATGGCTAAAGAACATCTTGTACCAGCTGCAGTCCGCCTGACGCTACTCTCTTAGTTGTCCCTTATTTGAAGGGCAAAAATAATACAAAAGTCAGAAAGACCAAAGTCTTCAGGACGAAAAAGATATCTGTACAACGGCGAAGTATTTCTTACTTTTATGTATACAACAGTACTAACATAGTACTGAAGACTAGAACTGTTCTGAAAAGAGAACATGGCCCCCTTGTGGAGAGTGTTCTACTAAAAGTTTAAATTCCATCGTCTATGACTTGAGTACATCAATAGAACATTGTGTTTTAATTTAATTTGATGCAATGAGCCGATTTACTCAAACAGGTTACAATATAATTAAAATACATCATGTACAAATACACCTTTATTCCCGCTTCAAATATCCATTATAAGAAAACGCTGTTCCTTAAAATGTATTTAGAAACGTACAAGTAGATTTAGTAGCTTCAGTGGCTGCTCTGTAGCCTTTAAGTTGCATTGCTGCCACCTACTGGACCCACCGGTAGCTTTAGTGGTATAGTGGTGTACTGTTGTTTTTTTTTTTTTTCTCCACATTTAACAAAAGTCTCACAGCCTTCGGACATATCCAGCACCACCCTCATTGTCTTCTCTGCCACTCCTGTCTTCTCTATACAATACCACAGCACCTCTATGACATTTTCCTCCAAATCTAAAGACTTGTACTCCTCCTTGTGGCTAATCCAGTGGTTCTTAATTATTTTCTGTCATGCCCCCCCGCCCTTGGGGACCGAATGCTGCCACGCCCCGTCCACCATCGACCTTTGCGTGGTTCTTAATTATTTTCTGTCATTTTCCACCCACCCATCCCCCCCTACCCACACACCTGCGGATTGAAATACTATTGAGAACCTGATAACATGTATATTTCTATCTGTACAAACCAACTGCCCCCGCCAGAGTGGGCCGCCCCACTATTTGAGAAGTACTGAGCCAATCGTTTACTATCTCTGGACTTCCGATCCAGTCTGAACATCCGTCTCGTCTCCGATAAAACACGTTAAATATTACCCATCCGACTTTTTTTTTTTCTAATGAAATAAAGAGATGGAGAACACCATACACGGCCAGAAGGAATTCTTCTTTACTGCAGCCGTGATTCTCGTTCGTGAGAGGAAGTGCCAGTAAGGCCACAGGAATGCAAATAATTACAGTAGTCATGGTTTTCCACCAGAGAGAGGGACCTGTGCGTCCATGTTGGGGAGGGGTAGGGGCCGCATGTGGCCTCTCCATCTGTGAAAAGGCCTCTGTGGACGTGCAGCTGCAATAGTAGCAGTAGCATCACCGGTACATTTTATGATGAGGGTAGAAATTCATATTAACTTTAAATCAACTTAGGGGGCCAACTTAACCTTCCCGTTGTCCCTATCTTCGTTAGCCGAAGATCATACCGCTAGCGATCAATGACTTTTCTGGTGGGCTACAGTGTGTTATACTAGTGGCGTATGTCTGTCTGTGAACGGCTGTGTGCGTATATATGTGCATAACAGTAGCGAAACTTGACAGCAGTTGTCATGTTGAAGAGTGAGTTGGTTATACAGGAGCTGTTAAAACACAGTTTATGTTGTGTTGTGCTCGGTGCGGCTGATAATAAAGACCCCAACTTCCCTGGTTCTGTTTACCTCTGCTGCGGACAAGCACAAAGTTAAGGGAGTTAGCCCCGTAGCTAACGTTAGCTTCGGCCCTGGAGTAGATCACCAAGTCTCCCCTGTGCATTCCAACTACGGTCGGGGCTCCGAAGCAGGAAAGAGCTAACGCGTAACCAGCCGTGTTACAGGCACAGTTCGGAACATTTATTCAAATAAAAGTTAAAAAAAAAATGTTTCTGTGTAAATATCCGATGTTACAACGTGGACACCTGCAGCTTATAGAGAGGTGCGGCCTATATATGTACCATTTTGTTTTTCTTTTAGTGGGTATAGGTGGCTTATATTCAGGTGCGCTTAATAGTCCTCAAGTTCCGATACATACAAATGCATCTCTTTTACGGGTACATGGTGGATGTCGGTGTAAACAAACTGTGGCTCCTACCCCTGATTCTGCAGTGACCTACAGTATTGGCAGTTTAGGCACACCATGTTCCTAATAGAAACCAGGGAACAGGAACTCAGGACTCGGACCCAACAAATCATCTATTCTTTTCTAAAACCGTGATATTAAACAGCAAAGACAGAGGAGATCCCGAAGAGAAGACGCCCTGAAGGCGACCAAAGGCTAGGATTGGTGTTACAGGGGGATTGTGGGGAGCGAGTATTAACGAGTATACAGTTGGAGCCGGGTCTTTTGGACTCTGGGAAAATTGGTTTAACCAACCCATCTACATTTTCTTTCTCCTTTAATCACTACCAGATGGCTGAATGTTACCTTCAAGGGCCTCTTTAGTCTGGGTGTGGATGAATTGACTCAGGAAATGGGAGAAAGGGGTTGGTAAGAGGGCAATGTGATATGCAACCCCTTCCCACCCCCCACCCGACTCTATCGAGAGCCGATGGGATCGCTCGTAGAAAATCCCCCCGCTTTTGTCCTTGAAAGTTTCGTGCTTACGGTAACGCGCAGCAGCGTGGAGCTGGAGCGACGCCGTCTCCTTGATCTGATTACAGAGTTTTTATCCAGACTGTCAGAGGTGAGGTAAGCGTGCCCTCGCTCTGCGCGCAAGTGGCATTTCCTCTCAGACCTGCTCTGCCTTCAATCCAAGCAGACTTGTCGACCTCTGCCAGCTCAGAACAGCCGAAACAGCCCTCAGTTCCAGCTTTTGTAGACAAGGTTTTTTTTCTCTGCTGGCACTTTAGAACATACTGTATGTCCCAAAACGTACTTCCAAGAGAATATCTGAACACGAACATACAGAATTGAGGTTCCGACGAACCGTGAACAGAGGTGACGATATTTAGGACCTTACTCAGGCAAATATGTAATTGGTCTTGCACGACGATCACGACCCATCCCAAAAAAACATTTTGGTCGTTGACTCGGGTGAATGGGGGCCATGCTGTACTGATTGACATTTATGTAAACATGATTGGTTGATCGGATCATTTAAAAGCAGCACTGACTTTAAGGACACGTGTGCAGCACAAGGATTAGCCAAGATTATAGTTAATCCTGATTAATCCGAATTGTAGTTAATCATGAAAAAAAAAAAATTTTCTTTTTCATGCTTAATAAAAAAAAAAAAAAATTCTTTTTAATGTTTAACTTTTAATTTGTTCCACACAAAAAAATTCAAAAATTCTGCCTGCGTCTTACACCACCCCATGGTAAAAATGTAACTGCGGCGTAACCTCGTGTGCGCACGAAGAAAATGTAAGTACTTTGAACTTTGAAAAGAAGGAAACAATGTTGCAACCACATAATCCAATAAATGGTGGCTCATAATCCCTTCTCCAAAACATGACCTTCAAACTCAAGAAAACAACATAAAACGCTCACATAACTTTCGGTGCCTTTGCACGCCGTCGACGGTGCCCTGGGTATGTTGAGGTGAAGTAGGAGTAACTGTGTAATACACATATCCATTTCAGGTTAGAGCCAAAACGTAAAGGCACCAAGCAATTATACACTTGTACAAACATAGTAATGGGCGGTTCATCCTATCATATTTTACAATTGACGGTTTTTTTTACGGGAAAATCATAAATCAACTTAAACCAATGTACGGAAACGAATACGTAACTCACCACCAACCGTGATATCCGAGCCTGTTTTCTTTGCTTTGTAAAATCTTTGCTTGACAGACACGTGTGGTTAAAATAACGTCTGCCGCAGAGACTCATTTTGATTGTTTTTTTGTTTTTTTTAAGTGTATAAATTCCATTGTCAAGTGCCAGTCGTATGGCTAAGCTAGGAGTTTCCAAATGTTAGCAACATTAGCTTCTTAAGAACCACTTAGTTTAACTAAAATATATATAATATAAATACAGTATAATTCCATATTGTGTTGTACTAATCGTATACTGTAGGACTGACATGGTACTACCCTACGGAGCTATATGTATTTATCTGGTACACCAATGTATATAATGTATGAAGTATACAAAGTACTTATTGTTTCTATAAATAAAAATATATGTGTATATATATATACATATATACAGTATATAAAACACATCTAGGAAACAGATTTTAACCACCACTGCCCCCTACTGGAGACAGAGGGGAAAAAACAGAGAAGTGACAAGAATTTGTAATGTTTATTATGCATACATGTATTATGCATACTGTAGGAAGCCATAGAAATCCTTTTAAATACATGTGTTTGTTGAGTATTGTATTTGTAAAACACTGTCATCTTCTAATCCACAATGATCTCAGCAATATATATATTACTGTAGCATATTTACAGACGTGTGTTTAATTCATACTGATCATCATTATTCGTTTTACACGTAATGCATACCACGACGACAGGTAACCAAAAAAAAAAAAAAAAAAAAATTTACAACCTTTAAAACCATAACTCCGTTCACTTTAACAAGCCATTGTTGATTTTTTTGTTTTTATTTATCTATTCTGACTGAAATGTTCCCATTAAAATGTGTATATACAGTGACATACAGATATAGAATGACAGTTAGTGTTAGTGCAGTAGGTAAGTAAGACAAAAAAAAAAAAAAAAAAAAGAAAAGATAATGAGGCATAAAAGAAATCTTAGGTGTCACATTTTTTTTCCCCGCTGCACCGCGTTAGCTTTGCATCACTGTTCACATTCACTGTTGCACCTTTCAGCTAATTTAGGTTCGATCATGAAGTGTCGGTTGGTTTCCTCACTCAGCTCACGGGAGTTTTACAATGAGAGATGACCCGTGTGACCAGTCACGTCTGACTCTTGACTTGCAGATGACATGGAGCGGGAGAGGAAAAAAAAATGTGGTAGTGACACAGAGCCTCTGTTGGGACCGTTCACTTCGTAGCTTGCCAGATTATGATGATGAGTATAGTCAGCACGATGGAACAAACCATGGCCAGAATGCACATTTTCTTACGGGACTTTTGCTGTGATGCGGGAGGAGAGAGAGAGAGAGAGAGAGAGAGAGAGAGAGTAAAGTGAGAACAGAAACACTTTGATTTGATATTCCGGATTTGCCCTTTAGCCTATGAATCGGCTGCGCACTGAGCATTCCTGTCAACATTAACAAAGCAAGATAATTATGTTCGCTGGAAAGCAGATACAAACCATCAACTACTGTATTTTCCGGGCTAACGGTCACTCTGGAGTAAGTCGCGGCAGTCAAAAAATGCACAATGAAGAAGAAAAAATATATATAAGTCGCACCAGTGCCCTCTAACGGGTGTTGGTGTGAAAATAACGAACAGTGAAAATAACGAACATGTAAACTTTCAGAGGAAAAGGAATAGCAGATACTTGTACACAAGCCTCGAGTGCCCTCTAGTGGCTGGCAGAGTGATAACAAACATGTACATTTTCAGAGGGAGAGGAGGAGCAGATACTTTTAAACAAGCCTCGAGTGCCCTCTAGTGGCTGTCAGAGGGATAACAAACATGTACATTTTCAGAGGGAGAGGAGGAGCAGATACTTTTAAACAAGCCTCGAGTGCCCTCTAGTGGCTGTCAGAGTGATAACAAACATGTACATTTTCAGAGGGAGAGGAGGAGCAGATACTTTTAAACAAGCCTCGAGTGCCCTCTAGTGGCTGGCAGAGTGATAACAAACATGTACATTTTCAGAGGTAGAGGAGTAAAAGATACCGGTACACAAGCCTAGAGCGCCCTCTAGTGGCTGTCGGTGTGAAAATAACATGTGAAATTTTAAATTTTAATAAATGGGCCGCACCTGAGATTAAAACACAAACCCAGCCAAAGGATGCAAAAAAAATGTGTGACTTATAGTCCGGAAAATACGGTAAGTAATTGTCTGTGACGCCTGAAATTTTGGACAAAGTCAAACGACGTAATCACGCCAAACGTGAATCATTACATTCGTGTACTCAGAATTGACCGTAATGACCGTATGCACCGCATGCCCACTGAGTACTCACCTGGTAGTAATTGGCTCTCTGCAGCTGCTCCGTTCCCCTTTCCACATGAACTTCAGCGTTCTCCACGTTAGCCTCTATACTGTCTGTAGTAGCAGGACAACCCGAAATCAAACTTTTCATTCGTAACTGAACTATTATCTGCTCGTACTTTCTGGTTTCTGCAATAACTGCATTGACGTGTTAACACGAGCACATACACCGCACTTCAGATTATTATAGGATAAAACAAATATACTTTCCTCATATATATTTTTTTTTTTTTACAAATAATTCTATTGAGTATCACAAGTAATTAGGAAACACCTGGAAATTCAAATTCAATTTTAGCCATAGGTCTAAATGACTAAAGACCACCAATTAGCGTTTTTTACCTTAGAATGATTTCACTCTACTCACCAATCATTTCCCCCTGATCGTGGATCATCACTGCCAGGTCCTTGAAAATCTGGTTAACGTCCAAGATGTCAGACTGAGGAGAAACAGACACAGAGATAACAAAAAAATCAGTGTAAAGACAAAACCAGTGTCATTGGTGGTGCTCATATTGTGCAGATGTGTGTTTTTAAACTGTGTGATAATAAATAACACGCGAAGGCAGACCTCTAGCTGTCTGATGTTCGTTTCTCTCTCTCTAATGAGCTCCAGGTCCTCCTCTGTGATGGCCACATCCTCCGTCTGGGTGGTCATCTGATCCCAGTCCTCTTGGCTTTAAATAATCAAGAGCGCAATTAACGTGTCGATAATGATATGTTACATGATGTGCAGAAGAACGTTTGAAGATTTCAAACGTCCCCATTTACCAAATGTCTGTCTTTGTAAGTTTGGCTTTTTTTTTTTTTTGGCACAGCTGCTATGAAAGTTAAAAAAAAACGTGAAAGACTTAAGAGTGTCTTTCTTCAATTCCTGCTAGTGCATTCTTTTTTTTTTTTTTGGCACAGCTGCTATGAAAGTTAAAAAAAAACGTGAAAGACTTAAGAGTGTCTTTCTTCAATTCCTGCTAGTGCATTAGTATTGTGTTCAACTAAATCTTCTTTTTTTTTTCCCCACTTCAAGCATTATCCTCAGATTGCACTGCATTGTGCGCAGTGCGTTTGAGGGCAGTCGTTGGGAGGCAGTTAAAAATGGCTTTTCTAATATGAGAAAGTGTTTCTTTTGTTGATCTTCCTCATCACTTCCAAGAATCTGCACATTTCAACTGAGGAACAAAGAATCACTTACTTATCAAAAGAGACAAGCTTCTCATCGCGAGAGCCGTCCTCAGCCTGAGAGCGGGGGAAAGAACGTCATGTTCAGCGAACGCGTATTTTTTTTTTTTTGCAATTACGTTTAAATGTGAACCCTGAACACATTCACTACCTCGGACTCTGACTTACCGACAGACGAGATCCGGCCCTCGCTTTTGCAACCGACTCCTTTTCCCGTTCTGCTGCTCGCCGTTGGACTGATTGGAAGTTGTTGAGAGCGGCTGAGAAATCGTTCATCAGTCGGTCCCTCAGGATTTTCTGTTGCCTCTGGAGGAGGAAGACCAATAATTATAACACTACAATGTCTTAGTTTTTTTAAGGATATATTGTATATATATATATATTGTATTGTATATATTGTATATATATATATTTTTTTGTATATATATATATATATACATATATGTGTGTATATATACACATATATATACATATATACACATATATACATATATACATATATACATACATATATAAACACACATACAGTATATATACATATATATGTGCAGAGTAGTATGCAAGAGGTAAGGGAGCGCTAGAAAGGTTCTGATATTAGCATAATTATGTAATATCGGTAGGAAACGTAATCTGCTTTTCCTCCGATAATGAAAACCCACCCTGCCTGGATTTCGCCACATATGCTGGAATCGGTTTGAAAATGTATTTTTGTACAGACAATGCTAATTTGTGGAATGTCTTTAGTGGAGCATCACCCACAAGTGGGTAATGTGTTAATTCCACAACAGGAGATATGTGATGTGACGGAGTATCAGTCGATATCGAATTCGGAAATTAAGTGTTCGGACAATATTAGCAAAAAGCTAATATCGGACATCGCTAGTCATAAAAGAAATCATATTTTCCTAAGTCCATAACCTATATTCGAATAATATTTATATAGCAACATCGTATTTTTTTGGGTAATGTGGTATTTGGTCCACAGGAATATTACTACCAAACATACAATCTCTTAGGGGAGATGGATTGTAGTTTTATGCAAATGGATCAATTGAATGACCTCTCGAGTCTCCTTTACTATACTTAGTGTTGTGTAATTTTACATACATAGAATTAAACTTACCTGTTCTGATGGTAATACAGGTAAAGGGATTGATCCCAACTCTTTTAGGTGCTTGTTGGTTTCTTTTGCCAACTGGTTAGTGTTGTGTTGCACCTGCTGCCTGAAGTGACATAAGCAATTAAAAAAAAAACAAAAAAAAAAAACAATTACCCATGATGCATTTTCTTCTACAACTAAAAAGCCTATATCCTGAGTGTCGCCTGAAGTAACGTGTCATTTGTACTAATGAAGTCCTCAAACAATGCTTGCTCAAAATTTGGGGACTTTGCACTTTTTTTTTTATACCCACATTTAAATAAGGCAGTTTCAAGTGCCTTATCACACTTGATATATGTTATCTTTTGTGCCTTACTTTAAAAGCCGAGTCATTATCTGAAATTCGGTTTTGTGCAGATTTTGACTTAACAACAACGACGACACATACCAGAAATATAAACAATGCCAAATCTAAAACAAAGACAGTTTCTGAGAGAGCTCTGTGTGCATGCATCATGCGTGCGTTACTGTCAACACCTACAGGCGGTCTTGGAGTTCACTGGTGTCCTGTCTGGTTCCCAGCTGGTTCACCATGCTCTTGATCTGAGTGGCTGAAAAGACATGACACAATGAGAAGTTCCCACAAGGGAAGAATGTACACACAAATGTGTGTGTGTGTGTCATATTGTCAAAAAAAAAACAAAAAAACCCATAGCTTGCATTAGCGGTTCCAGAATTTCTTCTTCATTGCTACACCCTTCTAGATTAGACAGAAACATTCACAGCAATTGCTTCATATTTCCTACTGAACTGCTATTTTATTGAACAAAGCACAAAAATACAAATCATTGCAATTCACCAATTTCTGTTTCTGTGTGGCCCGAGTAAATAAGATTTTGAAACTGACTGATTAAAAGACTCAAGTCATGACTTCCTCACTTTGAACACACGCAGACATATACTGTATATATAGACATATATATATATATATGTTTATATATCTACATATACTGTATGTATATGTATATATATACGTATATATATATACATATACATATATACATATACACATATATATATACACATATATATACACATATACACATATATATACATATATATACATACATACATACATATACATACATACATACATACATATACATACATACATACATACATATACATACATATATACATATATATATATATATACATATATATACATACATATATACATATATATATATACATATATATATGAGAAATGCAACACTTACTGTTCTGCGTTATCTTCTGGATGTTGGAGCTGCATGTTTGTATCAGTGTGTTAAAGTCTAGTGGCCCAGAGCTGTAGTTCCCCGTTTTGGCGTACGACATTTTGGCTTTGGAGCTGAGGGGATTTGGAGAAAAAAAACAGACAGTACTGTTTTAAAACTTAAAATGTCATCGTAAGAGACACTTTGAGTGAAAGTAAACGAATAAACACAAGTAGATATGACTGCTTTTGCATAACATAACTTAAACAACGTAGAAGAGTCACAAGATGGGAGCCTAACTTTGACTTACGCAGACAGTCGTCGGTATTGTATCCCAATTATTATATACATTTTATATTAACGCAAAGACAAGAGCAATGGGACGCGTTTTAAAACGACATTTCTTGGCTTTTGTCCTAACACTACCGCAACCTGCTAGTATGAATCAAAACCAGTATGGATTAATCTCGTTATATGCATCACATATTTCTATATAACCTAAACTCCCGTGAAGAACCGTTGAAAAAACATAGGGTAATCAGGAGAGGCAGAGTACAAATGATAACAAATAGCTAGCTAGCTTTGTTTGTCTGCTAACCTGGAATATGTCCAGATCGAATACCAGATTAGATTAAACGCATTACAACACTGTAAAAACTGAATGTTTATTCATCCATGGTATCCGTCCTACATCTAGACAATGCTCTTATTTTTTTTAGGCTTCACTAAATCGAAGTAAATATCTGTAAATAAAAAAATATCACTGTGCACTGCTGTTAGCTTTCCAGCTAACTGACGTAAACTTGTCACTTTTACGTGCAACAACCTGACTATACAAATAAGACAACGCCTGTTTTCGGGCGGTGTGCACACAAAGACAAACTACGAAAACAACCTGACAAAAACGTGAAATAAAAAACGAAACTGTCATACTTATTTATTGTGCAGTTTCACGTCGACACATAGGCGTAGTTGTTATCCGCTCTGACGCCGGGACTCTGACCTTCCTGTTCACTGACGTCACCAGCTCCTTCTCCGTTCAACAGCGGTCCTGAAACGGTGCTTAGCGCCACCCATTTACTGAAAATGGTAATACCGCGGTGTCATCTGAATAAAAACGAGTCACTCGTTTTTCTACACAAGTAAACTCTCCTAATACTCTTTAAAAAAAGGCTACCAACCTTAGTGGGTTTTACTAGCTCTGCTTTTACAAATGACTGCTTATCAGAGGGGCGCAAGTGGGCACTTTTAGTATGCAGTACTGGCTTCATTCATGCTTCAACGATATACAGGCTTTCAGTCACTAGATGGCAGCAGAGCAGGATTTTTTAATTGATTTTGATAATCAGGGGATTGTATGCAGAATACTGGTGCCAGCAACTCATACAGTGGTTTGTACATATAATAAATATTACCTGGTAACTCAACCCACACAGCGCACTATTTGAGAATTACTAGTTTAAAAAGACCTTTTTGTCTGTTGTTGTCTGGAGAAATGCAACGCTGCCCCCTGTGGTTCTGGAGCCAGGGCTGGCTCCTGCGAAACTACATTGAATAATTCAATTGAAAAAGTCTTTTATTGTTTTCTTTCTATAAGGTGCAGCACAAATGATGACGACCAAAACACGAACTGTACTTGTCTCTATGTAGAAGTTGAAGAAATGACTGGGGTAAAAAAAATTATAAATAAAAATCAATCAACCGCATATCCACACACAACAAGCATTTGAAAACACTACAGCACTGGCAACAGACTCCGCGTCCTTCCAAAAGGATCGATGAAAACACTGAACTACTGTTGAGTAATGACAGCACAGGCAGCTCAGATGATGTCCTGCAGTTCTTCATCAGTCAGCAAGTTGACGGTCATTATTTTCTCCAGTTGCTCGCCGTACCTGACCTGGTCTTGCATGAAGTAAGGGATGCGTGTGTTCTCCATTTGAGCCTCAGCTTTCAGTCGATCCACATCTTCAAATGATACCTGGGTCGGCGGGGGAGAAACAAGGGCAACATCAATCAGAACAGTTTTTGATTATGAGCGGCTTCAGGTGCCGTCGGTCTTAATGCGAAGAATATTATGAAAAATGAGTATATTTTCTCACTATTATATCTGTAAATTTAACATGTCTCTGACACATGAAATGTCTCCACAAATTGCTTAGGTATATATACTGTATATATATATATATATATATATAAAACTGCAGGTGTTTGGGATATAAATAAGGTTAGAATGCAGACGAACAAGCTAAAGGCAGGCGCTAATTTACAGTGATTCGTATTTCTTTTCATATGTGACGTGTCATTTATTCCCCATACAGGTTCCAAAAAAATTTGTATAATCTCAAATTAATCTGTGATTAATTAATGAATTAATTAATTTAACATTAGATGATAAAAAAAATAAAATAAAATAGCCGATATAGTGTAGCGGGTTAGCAAGTCTACCTTGCAAGCAGAGAACGGCGGAAGCATGTACTTAATGGTGTCAGCAACGGCAGCCTGTGGTGGTTGCACTAAAAAAAGATGTCAATATTTTTAACGTAGCAATTAGCGGTTTTAGTTTAGCGGTAAGCGCAGCTGCCCTGCAAGCCACATATTCCTAAAGGTGCCTCCTGTGTGGCAACCTGCGAGCTGCAACCGTAATTAGCGGTTTTAGTTTAGCGGTAAGCGCAGCTGCCCTGCAAGCCACATATTCCTAAAGGTGCCTCCTGTGTGGCAACCTGCGAGCTGCAACCGTGTATTTAACGGCGCCTCCTGTGGCAGCATGTGTCCGTTGCAAAGACAACACACTGTAGATTTTTCCACTGTGGAATAATTGAGGGACTCAATTATTTTAGTGTAGCGGTTAGCGGTTTTAGCGTAGCAGTTAGCGCAGCTGCCCTGCAAGCCACATATTCCTAAAGGTGCCTCCCGTGGCAACCTGCGAGTTGCAACCGTGTACTTAACGGCGCCTCCTGTGGCAGTCTGTGTCGGTTGAAAAGGCTCGCACAGTAAATCTCCTCATTGTGGTACATTCCATTCCAGAACATTATGTTCATTTTTAGGACAAAGAGAGCACCATTTAGTTCTGCTGCTAAAATTGCTAACAGTCGATATCGGTTGATATCGGAAATCAAGTGTTTGGACAATATCAGCACATACGATATTAGCAAAAAAATTAATATCGGACATCCTTACAACAGGATGTCTTACAACAGAGGTGCGGAATTTTTTTTTTTTTTTTTATTATTTACAATATGATGAGACGTCAAACCTTTCCTAAAGCGATTAGCATAGGGAAGTTGATCTTGTCTCTGTGTCGCAGGATCTTCAGGATGCCATCCAGGTACACTTGATCCTTACTGAAACAACCTGCAATTTTGAAAAGATGAGTCAAACTTGGGGAGAACGTGATATTTCACGAGACTATTTCCAACATACCCTTACAGTTTAACATAGTAACCTGGCTGCGCTGTGTCACTCTGGCCTCTCTTGGCTCTAACGCAGTAGTCCCAGCGAGTGTTGGGGTCCTGGACGAAGTTTCCCAGGTTGCAGAAGAGCTGGGAGAAGGACATCTGACTGGCCTGGTAGACCGTGTAGTAGAGCAGCGCAGCACGCCACAGAATGGGGTCTCTCCTGAACAGAACACTGTGGATGCTAGCCAGACCTTCCTCCGTGGGATTCAGGGGTTTCAGGTTGTGCATCTTCCTGCCCGTGCTGCCACTCCATGGCTGGTGACAATTGTTAATGCTGCGCAAATAATGAGTGCCTGAAAAAAACAAGGATTCGTTTTAATAATTATCCTCAAATTCACTTATTTGTGCATATCATATGTCATATTGAATGGCCCACATGTGATTAAAAACCATTTAATAAAGTCTATGCAGTAGAGTTAGTTACATCTATACGGGGTTCCATTTACAATTAGCCCTTCAAGGGGGGCCCCCTGGTGGATACGAGTCTTACAGACTGTCAATACACATTCGAAGTGGATCGCGAGGGACTGTCAAAAAAAGTTTGGATAGAAACGCAGCAGTGACTAAAATCTACCGACTCGATGAAGCTGAATTTTGAGGTTTTACTTTAGCGTATATATGTTTTTGACAGTCACATATTTAAACAAGGGGTGTGTTTTTTTTTTTTTTTTCATAATTAATTTAGTAAGCTCAATTAATCATTCACGATTCACAGCTAATCCACCATCACGTAACATCGGATTTATCCTGGGTGGCTGTTTGACGCCCCCTTCTGTTGACAAATTAGACGGCTACCTATTAACCAAAGACTAAAAAAAGATTTAATATTAATTATAGCTTAGTTATTATAATTAATTATACGTTAATTAACACCAACAATCATTGTATTTTTCAAAATGTATTGCACACAGCCGCTGGATACTAGCATGCACCAGTTTCGGAGACATGTTTTTTTTCTTTCTCTCTACTTTCACACACTCTCTCTCTTAGTCTCTTTCTCTCTCACCACTGTATATACGAGTGAGACAAATTAACAGATAGTCATAGGACACAGGTGATTGTTATGACACTGATTACCCTAGAAAACAGACAGGAGGAAAAGGGAGACAACAGACCGCACATATCTGCTATTTAATAGCTATCTGCTGCCACCTAGTGGAAGAAGGTTGACGAGCAAAGACAACTTATTAACAATAATAATAGTAGTAGTAGTAGTTATAATTTTTTTTTTTTCAAACTTCATTGATCCAACACTTGGGCTATTTTTGTGTTAACAGCAGATCTGCTTCTTTTCTGAGAACCAAACCAAGGACTTCCTGCTCTGCTAACCGCTACACTATGGAACCACTGGAAAACAGGATGAATTTGCACTCATTCACTTAACCATCGTACTCACCAATCTCATGCCTCAACATGCCCTCCAGCCAGTACTCCCTGGCAGTGGAAACGTTAATGGTCAGTGTAGGTCTGCTCTTCACAACAGTCATGGAGGCTCTGGACAAGAGGTCATCTGTCATTTGGACTACTATCTATCAACACATGAGTGACAAACAATACACAATAGAAACCTTTTTTTTTTTTTTGCTACAAAGATATGCAAGTCTAGGCAGGTTATCATCAACTGACGGCCCGCAGGCCGAATCTGGCCCACCGAAGCGTCCAATCTGGCCCATGACTGTGTTCCAAAATGAACATCAAATATAATTGTCAGATAAAAATGTTGATTTTATTTGAGTGTCTGCCCACCAGGAGTCTGTGGCCCTTTGTTTTCAATCTGATAAATTACATATAAAATGCAGATTAATCATGATAACATGTTATTGTAATTAAGGACAATTCATTATGACTAATACAAATAAAGCAACATTCATACATATGTATATTACTGCAAAGGACGTGTGTGTGTGTAGGATGTGGTATGATGCATGGAGCAAATACCACAGGCGATTGTAGATCCGAACCATGGCGTCCTCCCCTCTCACCTCCCCTGTGCAGCCTTCCTTCTCCATGTATTTCTTGACGTTGTGCCAGATGCGTCCTTTGGTGAGGAGGTTTCCGCCAGTGACCTGCTCAAACGTCTCATAGCTGCCATATCGCTGCAGCGCTAGCTCCATGATGCGCACTGCCTGGAACGCGGGAGAAATGGAATATTTTAAAACGTGTCTAACCGAGGCGACCGTTCTGTTTCTCTTTTCACTCTTGAAAACTGAACTTGAAAACGCCCAACAAAATGGTTCTGTAAAAACTACTTTGTGCTATATAGGTGTCAAACATAGGGCCCGCGGGCCAAAACTGGCCCACCCCGAGGATTCAATATGGCCCGTTCGAGGAATGTTGAAAGTTTAAAAAAAAAAAAAAAAGCACAAACACTGCATGTTAGTGATGATTGGTCAAATATTTAAATATAATTATTTCTAATATATTTGTACTTATATTGCATGAAAACATAGGTAATTATGTTATGATTGTACTGGCACATACATAAACGCTGCTAATACATCACAAATAGAGGTGTCCGATAATATCGGCCAACTGATATTATCCGCCGATATTAGCCTAATTATGTAATATCGGTAAGAATTGTTATCGTTTTTTTCCCCTCCGATAATGAAGACCCGATAACGCAATGCTTGAGTTGTGACCTATGAATAGTTTTGAGGTGAATTACACCACCGCGCACAATGAAATGTGTCCTCTGCCTTTAACTACAAATATATCAGTATCGGTTAAAATCGGCAAAATCTGCTAAAAGTTCATATCGGAAAACCCTAATCATTAGCATTTACGTGGCTCGTCTTTTCAGTAGTTCTTGTATGTCCGGAGGATAAGGTGACAACAGACCCGCACGTGCGTAACTTTCAACCTGTTTGCATTCACTCGCAAAAATCATTTTCCAAGATAACTTAACTATTTCCAGGTTATTTGAACTTTTTTTCCTCATTTTTCATACTGGAAAACTGGTCAGTCATGTTCCAGGTTTTCCAGGACGCGTGGAAACCCCGTTACGCTACCTACTGCTTGAAACCTGAACTGAGTTGGTGGGGCCCCAGACAGTTCTTGCTGTGCTCTGGTTTCCTCCCACATTTAAAAAACAGGCCGAATTAGGTTAATTGGACTCTGTAATTTGAACGTAGGTATTGCGTGTGAGCGTGAAGGGGTTTCTTGTCTCAGTTCCGTGATGATCCCTGTGATGTTTACAAGATGAAGAATAGCTTTATTAGCTTTGTATTGAACTGTCATGGCCTTGGTACATATAGCATTTTTAAAGCTTTTTTTTTTTAAATATATTGTAGATTAGTGGTTCTCAAACTATATTGTGTGGATCACTGATGCTTTTTTTTAAATTTGGTTTTAAATGTCAAATAGTGAAGGTATGTAAAATATCTTATATTTAAAAAAAAAAAAAAAAGCACAAACACTGCATGTTAGTGATGATTGGTCAAATATTTAAATATAATTATTTCTAATATATTTGTACTTATATTGCATGAAAACATAGGTAATTATGTTATGATTGTACTGGCACATACATAAACGCTGCTAATACATCACAAATAGAGGTGTCCGATAATATCGGCCAACTGATATTATCCGCCGATATTAGCCTAATTATGTAATATCGGTAAGAATTGTTATCGTTTTTTTCCCCTCCGATAATGAAGACCCGATAACGCAATGCTTGAGTTGTGACCTATGAATAGTTTTGAGGTGAATTACACCACCGCGCACAATGAAATGTGTCCTCTGCCTTTAACTACAAATATATCAGTATCGGTTAAAATCGGCAAAATCTGCTAAAAGTTCATATCGGAAAACCCTAATCATTAGCATTTACGTGGCTCGTCTTTTCAGTAGTTCTTGTATGTCCGGAGGATAAGGTGACAACAGACCCGCACGTGCGTAACTTTCAACCTGTTTGCATTCACTCGCAAAAATCATTTTCCAAGATAACTTAACTATTTCCAGGTTATTTGAACTTTTTTTCCTCATTTTTCATACTGGAAAACTGGTCAGTCATGTTCCAGGTTTTCCAGGACGCGTGGAAACCCCGTTACGCTACCTACTGCTTGAAACCTGAACTGAGTTGGTGGGGCCCCAGACAGTTCTTGCTGTGCTCTGGTTTCCTCCCACATTTAAAAAACAGGCCGAATTAGGTTAATTGGACTCTGTAATTTGAACGTAGGTATTGCGTGTGAGCGTGAAGGGGTTTCTTGTCTCAGTTCCGTGATGATCCCTGTGATGTTTACAAGATGAAGAATAGCTTTATTAGCTTTGTATTGAACTGTCATGGCCTTGGTACATATAGCATTTTTAAAGCTTTTTTTTTTTAAATATATTGTAGATTAGTGGTTCTCAAACTATATTGTGTGGATCACTGATGCTTTTTTTTAAATTTGGTTTTAAATGTCAAATAGTGAAGGTATGTAAAATATCTTATATACTATAAAATATATAAATAATAATTTTATTAATCTTTGTGTTTGGTTTCTGTTGATAAAAACGAAGATAATATCATGAATTTCTCTCAACTTAAGTCACCGTTATGTCTGTTAGATTCTGACAAGAGTCTGACTTAGGCCTGAGAGTCATAATGAAGGGCA